TATAAAAAATAAATTATAGATATTATCTTTTTTAAATAATTTTTTTAAGAATAGACAAGATAAAAACCAATAATAGAAGATAAAATTTTATAATGAAATAATTGAATTTACTTAAAAAATATAAGTATAAATATAGATAATACTTTTTATAATAATTAAAATAACATATATATTATTTATAATTTATTTCATAAACTTAAAAATTAAAATAAAATATCATATTAAAACTAAAATAAAAAATGAAAGTATCTTTATTTTATACAATAATTGTTTTTATAATTTTATATTTTTTTATTATCTTCTTGATAATATTTATAACAGTTTTATAATAAAAATTCAATTTAGTTTTCAATTCATGTATACAACTAATTACAACTAAATTTAAAATTAATATTTAAAATTGGTTTGTAGAATAAAAGATAATAATATTACAATAAAAATCACATTTGATTTTTACATATTCAAAATTTTGAGAATTATAATCTTTAAATTATACTATAATATTTTAATTGTAGTATATTTAGCTTTAATGTAAAGAATTATCAAGTGTAGATTTTTTGTGGCTTCATATATAGGTGTATAAGAAATTTTAAATATTTATCAAATATTTGTATGGAAGAAAATATACGAGAAATTATACAAGATTACAAATAAAATCATAAGTATTTTTATAACATATTATTCACATATTTATAGCAGTAACAAATACAAAACTATGATTCCAATTAAAATCTTTATTGCAATGTAAAAATACTAAAATAATAACTATATAGATTCAAAATAGTTTAATTTTTTAATGATTAAATAATACATTTTTTATATGTATATATACTATAAATTATAATAAAAATCTTTGATATATTTTTTTTTTAATTTACAAACTATACTATTAACCTATACAAAAAATATATTTAAAATTAATTAAATTTTACATTAAAATTTTCAAAAAAAAATTAAAACTATAGATGATATAAGTTTATTATTGAAGGTATTGTTAAACCTATTTAAGTTATTTAAAACTAAATTTATTAGATTCAAAAACATATAAAATAATATTTCAAATATGGTTAATTAAATATGTTCTTAAAATATTATTTTGTTAAGAAAATTTATCTAATTTGTAATTAATTTTAACTAAAAACACACACACATACACACTCACACATGCGCACACACACACACATACACACACACATGCGCACACACACATACACACTCACACATGCACACACACACACAAACACATATATATATATATATATATATATAGATAATTTTTTTAAAAATTAGATTAAAGTTTTAATGAATTTTATTTAATAATATATTTTAAAATTTATCAGTAAAGTAATTATTTTTAAAATATATATTAAATATATAAAAAATACACAAAATAAAGTAAGAGACTTATGGACCATCTAAGTGATGAAAATAAAAACGTTGCAACAAGATATTGTAAGTTTGGCAACTAGCTGCTAATTTACACATAGACAATAATCAAAATATTATAAAAGATGTTGATTGAATCTCAATTTATAAAAGCAAAATGCCTATCAGAAGTACTATCAATTGTGTCAATTGCGCTAAGAAGTTACAATCCATCACACAACCATTTTACAAAATTAAGAATTAGTGGCATTTTAAATTATTTTTATCATAGCTTGGCTTAAAGACAGTTCTTGAAATTAAACGCAAATTGATTACACTAATACAACTACAAAAACAATAGAAAAACTTGTAATAAATGTGTTTTTTTATTTATATTTGGATGATTAATACAACCTTCATTTGTTTTCAAAAAAATAGAAATATTAATGTTAAAGTGTACTACTTATTAATAAGTAACAAAGTTATGTATGATACATTTGCATATGCAAATGGTTCTTTATATATTGGTTGATTACTACAAGGACTATAGAAAAATCTAATAATATAAACTTTTATAAATTTTCACTCTTTCATCACTATAAATTAAATTGAATTAAATTAAAAAAATAACATCCTTCTATTCTTTTCATTAGGCTTAAATAATCTTGAGGTACTAAAATTATCAACTAAGAATCTTAAAATCAATAGGTAAAAGAAAAAAAAAAAAAATTATTAATCTTTGATTAATACTCCTTTATAGAGACTTGGTCTATTTAAAGAGAGAAAATAAGATTAATAAAGAGACAAAGACTTATAGAATTTATTTCTACTCATGCATAAGTTGAGCTTCTTGAAATGAAAACAAACACAAGAAATATATTCCTACAAAGAAAAAGAAAAATAAACTAAAAAAAGATTGTATTAATTAGCTTTTGATTCAATTAAATTTGATAAATATTTTTTCATTAAAGATGATTAAAACTATTTACTATTAATTTTTCAATATATTTAATATATATATATATATATATATAATAAAAGTATAATAAAAAAAACTAATGAAAAATACCATAAAATATAATTTTAGTAAATATTAAGATTTTTTAAAATTTTAGCCACAAACATTCTAAATGTAATAACCACTTTTTTTAACATTTACTTATCCAAATCAATTGTTAGTATGTTTTATAACTATTTCCTTTTTAATTTTAATTTTAACTTTTCTAAACTTATCTTTGAGACATTCTATTTATAAAATTTAAACAAGTTATAATTTATAGATGCAAAGATTTCCATCAGAAGATTATAAGCAATCTCGATTCTTACTTTTTTTAAATCAATGTTTGTTTGGACATCAAAAATGTTAATAGTATTTTTTATTCTTTTTTAATTTGTTATATTAGAACAAAAATTATGTAACATAAGAATTTAAGAATTCTTTATAAAATTTGACAGTAGGTTGTAAAATTTTACATCTTAAATATCGTATTAAGAAATTTCATATATCTTAATGAAGAAAGTACAAGCAAAAACTTTATCTTGCATTTTTCTTTTCTTATGTTATTTTTTTATATAAAAATATATTTTTTAAGTAATTTATCCATTTTTATTAAATTATAATTTTAAAAAATTCTATGAACAAGAAAAATTCCAAAATCATAGAAATAACATAAAATTTAGATTTCAATAATATTAAAAAAACTAAAAAAAAAATTATTAAAAATTTAAAATTTAATACTCTTGAATTAAATAAAATGTTCAAATAGATTAGAATTTTAGAATATTATTTAATTTAATAAATTAAGACTATCTTCATCTTATGTTATTAAATTTTTAAAATATTAAAAGATATGAGAAAAATAAAATCAATGATTTTTAATTTCTTGTGGAACAGTATCTTATCTTTAGTATTTACTTCAATTATTTGGCATTTAATACCACCCAAAATATAGATGAAGAGATAAAAATCCAGAATTTATTAACATAAAAAAGGTTATGGTGGCCTTGTTGGCTAAATGGACATCTGTAATTTTAAACCAATAGATTCTACTATTATGTATTTTTTTAAGTTTAGGCTCACGTTTGAAAAACGAATTGTTTCTAGAAAATAATAGCCAAATACATGTTGCAAAATTTTATAAACAAATCATTTAGTAGATTAATGATATGTTTAGTGCATAAAGTTTACAAAAAATCTATAAAAGATTTAAGGATATATATATATATATATATAAGAAGTGGCTAAATAAAATTAATAATGATATTCAACCTTCTAGATTTAAAGATTGTACAATCTAGAAGGTTGAATATTTTATAAATCAAACATCCTATCAATTGATGTTTGTTTAAGATTAAAATCTATAATTAGAAATAATAGATTCAAATAGTTTTACATGCAATGACTATATATATATATATATATATATATATAATATAATTTCATATTTTTATTAGAAAAATGATATTAAATAAATAAAATTTAAGATATTTGTAGAAAAAGATATAATGTTGCACATTACCAAAAATTAATTATAGGAATTTTTTTATATTTTAGTTGTAAACCATAGAATTCAGCCTAAAATATGTGGACATATTATTTGAGCCTCAATTTTTTATTCAAATGGAAGGATATGTGTTTTCTATCACAAGCCAAAAATAAAAACATAATATTCAAATTTATTTGGCATACAAGAACTGCTGTAAATATGTAGAGAGCTAAAATAACAATTACAGCATATCTTTGTATTAAAACAAGTATATTCAAAATTTAACAAATACAGATATGTATGAAAATATTAGCAATCATAAGAGATATTGTATTGAATCAAATTTTATTCAATTAGTCGTTAAAAAATTCAAGATGTGAAAAACCAAGGTTTGCATTTTCTTAACAACAATATGTCTCTCAAGCATAGAAATTAGTTGGTTGTCTTAAGTCATCATCCAAAGTGGTCTTAATGTACATACAACTAAAGAGACTGAGGAAGATGATACGACAATTTATCGTCCATAAGTCCACCCCAAAAACGGGCAATAGAGCTCTTTTGTTCGTGGCTACCTCTTTTGATTCAGCAGCGTCAAAGTGGTATACAGTACAAAGAAATAATAACGAAGAATTAAACACACACACACACACACACAATTTTGATGAGAAGCTGAAATGTAACATGTTTCTGTGGAACACATATGTCCAACCCATGGCAGCAAACACGAGTTTACCACATGAAGGGAAGGAAAACGTGTTGATGGTGGTGTTGCTTAAAAATGGCGCTGGAGCAGCAGCACCAGCAGAATATAAATCAGGCTTTCGTGCAGCAGTGGGCACGCAGAGGCAACGTGGAAACAGACGCAGGGCCTGACCCAGTTCTCACGCGATCGGTGTGTTGCTGTCCACAAGAGCGACAGCGTACTTTCACCTTTAGCAGCACATGGTGACGATTCCTTCACCTCGTTGTCAGCAGCCCGATTTTAGACTATCATAGTACTCAACTGTACTTGCATCGTGGATGTTTATGTGTCCAGGCGTTCGCACAGCAGTTTTTTGTGGTCAACAACACCGACCAAACGGTAACATTTGTGATAAATGGAAAAGAGAAGGAAAGCTAAACCGAACAAAAGAAGCAAACAAACAAAAATCAGTTCAAATTGAAATGATATTTTCGGTTTTTTTCTTTACAATTTTGACTTGAGATGGGTGTTTTAAAGAAAAAAAATTACAAAATTTGTAACCTCTGTAGAATGGTCTCCAGATGTCAGAGCAGAACTCACGCACTCATGTGGGCAAGTCTGAATTTGCAACAGTGAATTGCTCTCTAGGTCCACCGGTGCACGGTTTAATGCTGATCATCCATCGATCGATCTGGGGTAAGTTCTGGGAGCCCCACCAGTGGTTCAGTTTCAGCTAAAAGATATTCACAACTATTTACGTGGTCCTCTGGAAGGCTGGGTTAGTATCAGAATAATCCGAATGTTCTAGTGACCTACGGAATAGATTATGGACTAAGTTCACAAGATGGTCAAATGACAGAAGAAGAAAAAAAAAATATGACAAAATTATGTCGACCTCTTGCTTCTGGTTTTAGCTCATTGCAACAGAACCCTCGCCTACAGATGATACTCCTGGTGGAGCTGGCTGCATCCCCTCTCCGTTCTCGCCCTGCGGCCTCCCCGGAGATGGATCCAAGACTTCTGAACTGCTTTCCCTTGATGGAGTTGGCGGTGGGGCGTTCACTTGACTTGTGCTTGTCGTAGCTCCGCCAGCATTTGGTGGTGCCGTGTTGTTGTGCCCAGGTACTGGAGAGGAAGGACGTGTGGGTGGTCTGGCAGAGCTTACAGACGGACTCGGCGGATTCTCGCGGATTCTCCTGGCTTCTTCATTTCTGGGAACGTAGGGTCCAGTGCGTACCCTGCGCAACATCACAGCGAGGTCAAAATTGGTTTCATTGATCCTACAAGCAGGATATGCACTAGATTTGAGGCAAACAAATGCACAACAACCCAAAAAGCTAGGTCGATGAAAAAACCATCACCTGTCTCTTCTCCTCTCCAAGAATCGGGCCAAAGATGCTTTTCTTGCTTGAGGAAGTTCAACTGCAGAACATAAAGACGATGTCAAAACATGAGTTTGAATCCACAACTTCAATTGCTCCGGAAATACGTAAAGTGCGAAAAGGATAAAGTTGGAAAATTCAAACTAGGGCACTGATCATGCCTGCTGTTGTCGTCGGCGTCGGTCGGATGGCCATGGGTACGACTCCTGGAGGTGGGAGGTCAGCAGAAGATAATGGAGCAGGAGATCCCCCCCTGGACGCCTGCAGGTTTATTGCACCGGGGCTACAGATCCAAGGGCTTTCCGTCGCACTGCAACCTCCCAGAAGGCTCTCATAGTTGGGATAGCTCTCTCTACCGGCTAGAAGCATGATCGCTTGAGCCTGCACCAAGAAGAAAAGTGAAACCACGGATATTTTATAAGAAATAATGCACAGTACGAGGTAATGGCTGCTAATTCTCACCATTGACCTGAACAAGGCGGAAGCAAGAAGCCGTGCAGAAGTAGAATAATAGCTCACCTTCTCATACGGCACATGGTCATAGACATTGACCATCCCGGCGTAGAATATGGTAAGCTGTGCCACACGAGGCAGCTCTCCGACTGTGGCTGATCTGCGAAACACAAAAACAAATCACTGTTACTTTTTTTTTCCATTGAGTAAAGAACAGAAGAATAAAACCAATTATTGTGATCTTTGAAATGCTACTAAGTAGACAGGCTTGAGCTCATTGAAAGAAAGAATGAAATAGAATAAAAAGGTGACTAGATGATGATACCTCACAAGGCCATGCGCGGCCGCCATCTTTGTATCTTTGACCGGGTGTTGTAATTCTGGCTGGCGTGGTGGGTTTTGACTACCCAGGGCAGACCCACTTTCGGCCCCAGTGTTGTCCTTCATTCTGCTGTAGAATGGTACGGGAGACCCAAATCCTGCGCTGTGGCTGGAACTAGGGTGCTGACGAGGCACCGAGGAGGGCTCAGCGGCTGTAAGATTAGACTGATGGGTACTCATAGCCTGTGCTTCCTCTCTCAGAGATGACGTACTTGCAGGCATGTTTCTTAAAGCGTGTGCGGGGCTAGTGAATATGGATGCATACTTCCGAGTGTGCTGCTGAGTAAAATCCAGCTCGTATCCACTTGAAGAACTAAGCCGCTATAAATTATAATCATAACAAGTAAAAGTCATTACCATTTGGGAATGCAAGAGTCGGAAATGTCAAGACGTGATACAATGCAACGTGTCATGTTAAAACAAAGAGATCAATACAACTGATTCCCTCAGTTGCAAGTTCATTCCCACAGCTTGTCCTAACTAAGATAATGGACTCTTACAATGTGATGAGAAGGGCTTGCAGGAGCAGAATGATCTCCGCGTGACTGAGAGCCTGTCAAATGATCTTCCGAAACCATGTTCCTCTCAGCAGACGTTTCAGCAGCCATGCCGAAGTTGCAATGGCTTCGGCAATCGGTTAGGACTCTTCCCGCCGCTACATGGTTGCTCATCCACGGTGGTCGGAAGGGGCCTACACAGAAAAACAGCAGATGATCAACCTTTTCTCTGCGCTGGAATTTTAACTTTAACAAAGACAACCCTTTGTATCATGGGGCTAAAGCAGGTAACTGATCACGACAATATTAGCATTCAAACATACTCTAATTAATTGCCGGCCATGAACTAATGACTAGCACTGAACCTCGTGGACTGGCCGCTGAACGAAATCAATAGTTTTAGCAGAAGTGTCAAGACAATCTTTACAACAATATTCACCTACACCTATGGAACTATATGCATCTTGTGCGGGAAGACGGATCTATATGCTCTGAATTCCTTCCGCGAGAATAACCGCAAAAGCTGTCAACGTGGATATAGAATGAAGAGTGGAAACCTCACCAGGTTGGGTGAAATAATTAATATTTCGATCTCGAAGTCCGTCAGGGCCGGGCGACATCCTGGAAACGGACTGCGAGCGTGAAGGATGGTTCAGCATGCTGGGCACAGGCCTCACCAGACGACCTCGGCTCACTCGCTCATCGCATTCAATGGAGCTGCTTCTCATGAGACCACCAACTCCACGCTCAGCTATCCCCCCCAGGTTAATGAGGTCGATCGCCACGGGTTCTCTTGTCATCGTGACGGCACAGGTATTGCAACCTCTCCTCTCGCTCTCTACGCCAACCACCGCGAATCCGTCGCCAACTACACGCAACCGACGAGAGCACTACTAGTAATTAATCCCCCGTCACCAACCTGCTATTTCCTCGTCCTGGATCCACTCTTTCACAACAAATATAAACTACCAGTTCTTCCCGCATGTCCTGGTAGGGCACTGCTACTCCTGCGCCCTCGTTCTTACTCTGCACCGCACCATCCAGACACCCCCAAAGCTCGCACTTGACCACGTGCTACACACCACCGACGTCCCCAAGGTCGCCGTCTCTATTCGTAATTGTGTTTTCTTCTTCACCAATTCACCCCACCACAAACTCCTCACAACTCCGTCTCCTAGCGACCACCTCAACAGAGCACCGCAACCGACTAATCTTTCTGCTAACTCCAATCGTCCTCCGTAACCTTCCACGCAACCCTTCCTCTGGCACGTCGGAGAACTACGCCCAAACACATCCGGTGAGCTCCTCCACTTCACGCTCGCCTGCAAGCCAATGCTGGTCCCAATCGCGCCCCAGTTCTCCCATATTTCTCCATAACGGCCTATATCAACACGGATCGAGGGGTGGTGGCCTACATCCTCCTCTCTCGTTCCATGCTCCTCCCGACCATGTGATTGCTCAATGCACATGCAATTACGACTTTGAAGGGTGCGGAACCAAAGCTTCACTGGCAGCCGGTCGAAGTTGCCGTAGTACATACATACGGTTGGCTGGTCGTAAGGGGATACAACGTCGCATGGGGTTCAAAAAAATGGGCTCGTCCCCACCACAGCTCCGTCGGACGATAAACATCGACGCTAAAAAAAGGACGGAAAAACGACGTTGCAGTCGGAGCAGGTGTGTGGGACGTAAAGTCGTCGACGGGGGGGGGGGGTTAAATAAGCACGTGGTCCACATGGTGCCTGGTGGTAGAAGCGGCTGCGAAGCCACGGGCGGGATAGGGTCGGAACAGGGACGGAGGGGCTCAGTCTCTCCCGGTATTCCCATCCTTTGCCTACGACGCCACGTTCCCCTGATCCCCGCTTGGGATTGAGTGCTCTTTTTGGGTGGGAACAGCTCGAGTACAACGTTCCCGTCCCGTTTGTCAACCTCGTTCCCTGTCCATTTGGGTGAAGTCACCCCGTTCCCGCTGCACGTGGCGGTTATCCTAATGCCATGTCAGCATGATATTCCTTTGTCTTTAAATAGGTTACTTTTATTGGATACCTTTTGTGTGTAATTTACTCAACATGTGAATAGAGAATTGAACTTTGTAGATAACCTCATGAGAAATATTCAGACATGTGATTATCGATTATTCTTAAGTATGGGCATCAAGTCACACTGAGGAAATCTTGTTTCATTAGATAGTATACGTAATATTTGGTCGTATATTTTCATATTTTTCTGATGTTGTCAACTTTTTTGGATTGAAGAAACTCATTGCAAATCATGACATTCATTGTGGACACTGTATGAGCATGCTTGATAAACCAGAGATTGAACTTAGCCAACTCTTTTAATTGTATGTTTTGTTAGTATGATTTTAAATAATTTAATCATTTCGGCATCCAGTTACTAGAGGATGTTGGGTGTGTTACACATATTCATCGTCATATGTAAATTTAAAAAGCACACATCAAAAGGGTATTTGTCAATATTTTGAGAAACATGTTATTTATCTTTTAATCAGTGAATGTTTTGCTGAACTAACATTTTTCAATGCATTTTCAACATTTTTTTTTTGTGTGTGTATGTTACAATTCAGCTTCTATAGTTCGTATACTAATATTGCTTAATAAAATGCTTTTATATACATGTTTGTGTTAAACTTTTTATAGCCTCAACAAAATCAGAAAAATATCCAACTTAAAGCCTTTAATTGTGTTTGGTAAATTTACAAGCCTTGTGTATGTACACTCAGTTATAAAATTAGTTCACTGTGATTAGAAATGTACGTATGTATATATACACATGAAATACATATACATACATATATGCACACAACACCAAGTACTACAAATAGGTAAAATTATATATATATATATATATATATATATATGTGTGTGTGTGTGTGTATTCGGCAACATCAAAACAGTAGGGGAAAAAAAATGCGCCGTAATTGATTTTCACAAGTATCAAATTATTGATCAACATCAAGTATCAAATTAAGGATAGATAAGATCTCTTCGGCTTTATCTATCATAGGAGTCGCACTTAAAAGAAGTATCTTGGAATTTCTGACAAGGTGAGATAATCTCCACATCTGACCATATGCGGTCTCTGCATCAAGGTCTGACATAGAATGTTTTAAATTATAAATTTCATCCATTATCATTATCCTGTTACTAAAGCTCGATCTTACTTGGTTATCCTCTAATCTCTTTAGCTTATTTGCAAAAGAGATATACTTTTTTATTTCATAATCTTTTACTTCTCCACCTAGCCACTTACGAATCTGAACCTGAAAGTTATCGGCAGATGTTCTACCCCTCACCTTTACCAGATTACAACCACATTACTCCCATTCATTAATAAATAAATAATTAAACTGAGATGTCTGTTTGTAATGAGCTAATGAATATTTGACCCCTCACGTGATGGATGGATGGATGGATGAGTGGATGGATGTTCGAGTTAGTGAGTGGATGAATGTTGAGGTAAACCCCATATTGAGCTCAGCTAGGCTGAGCACATGTGTGGGAAGAGGAATTTAGGCTATTCCAGAGTCTAGACCCCACGAGCTCATTACGGCACGTAACCCAATTGGAACCCTTATTCATCCATCCAACGAGCAACACCTATTATTCTATAATAGGGGGCTCTTTTGGACTCATGCCAAATTAGGGTTAGCTGAGAAGCTGGCGCATGTGCCTCACATGAAGCTCATGAGCTTTTGTGGAATGGCATTGACTCTATTCTTTTTTCTCACTTGACTAAAGTGTTAACTTATGGTGCTGGTTTTGGCAACGGAGTATCAATTATTAGAAACATGCAACAAAAAACAATTGGTAACCTCTTCAATGAAAAAGCAATCGCTTTTGAATTAAAACACACATGTGAAAATCCTTGTCTCCTAAAAGAAGTGATTTTGGATTATAGAGCACATTTCAATCTCCTCAAAAGTTGAATTAATAACAACGAACTTTAAAAAGGTGTGTTTTTGTACAGTTTTGTTTTTAGTATTAAAATTTACACCCATTTTTTTTGATAAAAGAAAAAACCATTGAAATAGGTTGAGGAAGTTTGAAGACTATCTTGTTTGCATGTGCTATTTAACACATGTCTGACGATTTTTATTATTTATTTCTAGGTTGTTTTTTACTTTATTTTATCAGGTTAGATAAATTAAGATGAAATATAGTTGGGATTATGTGTAATATGTACATGAAAACAACCTCCAGAAGACCAAACCCACGGCTTACTTTAAGTGTAATGTTATAACTTCTTATATTTATTATATTTTTATTAGTCGAAAATATGTTCTAGAATTTTCAACAGACTTGAATGCTTGAAGAATACAATTGATTTTCATAAATGGAACTTATTTTCTTTTCTTATGGTTACTCATCTGTCAGATTTTACTTGTTTATTCTATATTAAATAGGGTAATGACAGGGGAATAGAATTGAAAAACATAACAGGAGAAATTGTGTGAAAGTGCATGCGTCTGTTCATGTATGCATATATATATATATATATACACACACACATTTCAGTACAAGTTAAATATTATTGATTGCATAGAGTATGATAATTTTTGACAATGTAGATTGTTCATACTTTTTGATATTATAAAAAATACTGATTATTGTTTTATGAATAAATCGTTGATTTTTATTTTAAGTTATTAATTCAATCTACTATGCTTTGTAATACAACAGTTAAATCATGATATTAACACTGAACATTTAACATTTTTATATGGATTCAATTTACATACAAAAACTATACCCAACATGTATGTGTGAGATTGTGGGTGTGTAAGAAAAAAATATTGTGAAATAAAATTTAGTAAAAATATATAGCAAACAAAAACAACTTGCAATAGTAGGAATAGTTTTCAAGTTATGATAATTTTACTGGATAGTATTATCTGAATAGGTCTAGTAGCATCCATGCTTCAGATCATGCAAACTAGCTACTGACCACTCATGTAAAGGTTTGATACAAGTTGTGTAGGAACTTGGAACACATATTTCCTTACGAAGCACATGTGCAATGCCCACAAGACCTCATCTTTGAATGGAAGTTATTAAAACTTTTTAACAGTTTCCAAGTCAAACAAGCATTGATAAATTAGATTCACAAACTCTTCATGTAGACTGCAATACCATTTATGATTGAAGCACTTGGTTAAAACTCATTCGAAGACATAAATAGAAAAGAAAAGAAAATAAATGACATATATATATATATATATATATATATATACAAATACCCACACAAATATATTAGTGTGCAAGGGTAGCATCATCAAGTTTATATTTAGGTATTTGCATGGTAGTATCAACACTATCATCAAGATTATATATATATCGAGAGAGAGAGAGAGAGAATTTCTTTTCAAGAAGTTCTCCATTTGCTTCAATTGAATCCATCTGCACACTTACAAACTATGGACATACAATAATGAATCATGCATATATATCTTTAAAAAATAAATGTGTAAATAAAGTTTTAGGCATTAGTTTTTCAAAACTTGAAAAGGTGAATATGAACTAATAATCAATCAACAGAAAGTAAACTCTCAACAAACCAAAGAACACAGAAATTATTATGTATTGAGTAACCAGGATAGGTATTATACGAGTACTTCTGCATTCAATAATGTTCATACAAATGTATAGGTATCTACAATTATAAGAAACAGATCTTCGTCCTGCGTTGGTATTCTAACATAGGAGGTTATGTTGCAGGCATTCATTGAGAAACTTGGAAGCACTTTTTGACTACTTCGTTTGAATTGTATGTGTAAACTAAAAATATTGATTAAGAAGTTTACATAATTCAATATATACGACAAAACTTCAATGAATCCTTCAAATTAGGATTGACTAGAAATAATTATAAATGTATAATTTATTGATTATGAAAGCATTTATTAAAAAATTAGTGGAAATCAAAATTAAATTAGAGTGGATGCAATATTATCTATGCTTAACATGGACTGCCATCAAGAAGATTTTTTTTAATGAAAACGATTACTTTGAGAATGAATAACTTCAAACTTACAGATGAGATAAAAAGAATGTATGTAATCCAGATACTATGAAATACAAGTGATCCAATTACTTGTTATGATGAAACTGTAGAGACACATATTTCATGCAAAAAGTCGAGAAAGCTGTTCTTTTTGAAGTGGAACTCGAAGTTCAAATTATTTTCGAAAAAAAGATAGTCGGTAAACAGAACAAGTACAATTGTATCAACTACCAATCAATTTTATGTACGGAATGCTCCAAGTGAAACATACAACACATACGAGTTCAGTGTATGAAGAAACAGTGGATGAATAAAACAATTGTACAGGGTACTTTGAATAGCACAGTGCTGGAGTACCTTGAAGTGGAATGTGTCCTGACACTCACATGAAACTTGCTTAGCGTGGAAAAAGCCTCGATCATCAGACGGGTACCTTCTAAGTTGCAGCATATGGTCCTTTAGCAGCTTAATGTTGGACTCGTACGTGAAGAAGTGACACACAACCCCTCAGAGGAGCAGCCCTGACGCTTCGAAAGCAACTTAATGGGTTAGCCAGACTGATCCACAACTTCAAGGGTTGCAAACACGGTTGCCTACCCTTGGAAACAACCCCAAACTAAGCCACCTTTCAATCGGAGTGATGAAGCGTTCATCTACCTAGCTCTTGCCTGTGGGAGTACAGTCAGAGTCATCAAAGAAAGAAGGAAAGTTCACAGTTGAATCAGACGTCAGCTGAAAATTCGTACCCTTATTGATGCGTTTATATGAAAAACACAAAATGTGTACAATACTTCTAATTTCTTAGATGCTTGTCCTAGGAACTTGTTGTCGGCTAACGCGTCTTTGATGATAAATGCAATGTGTAGAGGCGGCTAACCAAGTACTTTTCGGTGCGCTTTCACCTCTCTGTGTAAGGTATGAGGATCCTACGGCACGCGTGGCAGCCGACATTTCCCACACCTATGTACAGATCTGAAGTGTAATAATGTATTGACCAGACAGCTGATGAGAGTCTATGGTTACGCCCCGGACATCTGGTCTTCAAAAATACCAGTAAAACCCCTACGAAGGAAGAGAAAATACGTAACCTATAATCACGTGCGAAATATTCATTGCAAATTTTACGACAATTCATGATATGCTCACATAATTTTACAACTTCTGATGGCTGAGTTGTGATGTGTACGAGGTTTCTCCATGATTCATTGGAACTTTCTTCACCGCAGGTCAAGGAACGATGCCCACATAGTTATATGGGGCCATTATGATCCGTTGCACATCCGATTTTGAAACCTAATTCTTAGACAGGTTCATGAAAAGACTCCCAGACTTCTGCACAATGCACGAAAATATCCTCAAAATGCGAAATTAACGAAACAACAAAGAAAGAATTAGATACAGCAACCACAAAACTCATCATTCCTTCGAAATTGTCCTACCGTGAACAAGTCCAATAACTTTTGAACATGGGGCTTTCAACAAAACTGTATGACATGAATCGGAATAATGTTTGACATCGCGGGATTCAGAACAAGAGAAGAAGTGAAGAAGCAAGAAACCTGACGCAAGAAACTGCTCGGAGAAAGCAAGGCTCATTTCGGAAGTGTATGCTCTATGAATCAAAAGGAAAATCGACCGCCACGGCATTCATACATGCCAATCAATAATTTTTGTTGGAGCGAAGAAACTTACTGCGTTAATGAGAAGACTTCTCCGAACCTCGCCTGGGTGCATCAATTACACGACATCAAAAACCGACGCTTGTGCGTCGCTAGTTTGAACTACACTACATTTTCCATCACCTTTGAGACCGAGTGTTTAACCCTCGTTTCGAACCGTGTTACTTACGTCCATGGTCTTCCACCATCCTTGCCAGCAATTCCACCGAATTCAGCTTCATCAGCAGGTCTGCACCGTCACCCGGCTTCCTCCTCATCACTTCCACCACCGCCACCGCCACCGCCTCCTCGAACTCACATCTTCCTCCTTTCTCCTCACTACCACGATCTCTCTCAAACCCTTACCATCAAGCATCCTCTAAACATGATCCTCAGGGACCTTGAAACCTACAGAAATCAAGGCGAAATTCTGGAGGTGAGACGTAAATTGGCGATGGCTTGCATTGAATGTGGACAGTAACCCTCAAGATCCTCCCGCGTCGATGAATTCAAATTTGAATCGTCGATTACGACATTTCGCTTGGGTTGATGAACGTGATAACGAAAAGTAATGAATTATTCATTCGTTTAGGGGGGGGCCGAAGTGTGGCAGTCAATTCTAGCGCCAAAGAGCGCTGTGGTGACTTGGCAGGTGATGATTGGTATTGACCCGCTTTCGGCGTGTTCGATCGGTGACAGCTTGGTCTGTCGCTTTTGCTGACGTGGAAGGCATCGTTGGCTCCATGTGGTCATGCTTTTTTATTTTTATTTTTATTTTCTTCTTTATATTTTCTCTGTTTTGTTTGTCTTTTGATATATGCACGGTTCACTATGTGATTGGATTGATCGATTAGTGACCAGATAACAAATACATTAGATCCTAATACCCCAATTCCCAAGGCAGGTCTAATAGTAATTGACTTATTATAACTCTGCTTTTGTGATTCACAACTTTAATCTCTATTTAGGGTATAGCACATTGACTCTAGATTCTAAAATATTGGCCATCCATTCCATATTCCAAGAAAATGATGCTTGGTCATGTGAATATTGAGCCCAAACATTAGGATCATCTAGATATACAACTAGAACTAGCTTTTCACATATTAAGCAAGGTAGAATTAACTCTCATCCGTACAACAACTAGTAAGGATTATAAGATACCAAAGATTCTTGTCTATTAAAGCGATAACCGATTGCAATCTATGGCAACATCAAATCCCAATCACAAATGGTTGCTATGAAGTAATCCATACTTTCATAAACCACATTTGACAGTTTGAACAACTTGCTCAGCTAGGCCATCTATCATAAGATGATTTCTAGATGTTGTATCTTAAAAAAGTCAACGCAATACAAGATTGGTGCAAAAATAAATATTGACTTAAAGGCTTCAAAAAATGCTCTAGTTTTTTTGCTCTAATTAATTTTTTCTTTGCATGTAAGATGTGTAAGAAGAACTGCAACTTGAGAAAAATTCTTGATGAAGATTTGATAATAATTGGCAAAGCCCAAAAAGCATTGCACATCTTTTATTATTCTTAAATTCTTCCAATCTATAATAGTTTGAATCTTCTTCAGATCCATCATAAGTCCTTCATTAAAAAATAATATATCCTAAGAAGTCAATTTGAATAATATGGAATACATACTTTTTCAACTTGGCATACAATCTCGCAACTCCAAGTTTTTGTAATAAACAATAAACACGAATTTCATGCTCTTTTGTATTCTTACAATAGATTAAAATATTGTTTAAATAAAAAACAACAAAATCATCTAAAAATTCACAAAAAAAATTATTCATAAGATGTTGAAAAGTACCTAGTGCATTTGTGAGTCTAAAAGGCATGATATTATATTCAAAGTGCCATACCTTATTTAAAATGTAGTCTACTATTCATCTCTTTTTTTAATAAGAATCAAATTATATGCCATCGTATTGTAATTTTTTATAATATGTAAAAATTAGTTTAAACATATTTTATATTCATAAGTCTTGATGTGTGTTAGAATGGTCAATAAATTAATTCAAAGAAAATAGATACAAAAAACTTTATTTTGAATTTTATCTATTTTATTATAATATTTAAATTATATAAGATTTAAATATTTAGTATAGAGCTTTAAGAGAAGGTAGAAGCCTAAGGATGAAAATCTAAACTACTAAGAGGCTTATGAGGAGGAATGAAATCAATTCATGGTCGGATGAAGACAAAAGGTAAAGATCTTTATCCCTATTGGTCAAAGGCCATACCTAATGGGCATTTACTAGGCTGTCTAGGACCACAACAAGAGTTTCGACAACTTCAAAAGGAGAATTTGAAAATCAAAAGAAAGAATTGTAAGGTTTAGGATTTGAACAACAATTTGTGTGCAAATTTTAGAGGATTTGGAGTTAGGGTGATGAAATTATAGCCATTTGAAGTTAAGGTGTCTTTTTAAGATATACTATTACTATTTTGAGAATATGATGAGTTTTATGATAGATTTTGAAGATTAAAAGGTCTAGTTGTAAAAATAATTTTAAGATCTATATCTTTTATGAAAGAATTTTTACATTTGGAATTTTTATGAAGAAGTTATAAAGCGTTGAAAACAACACAAGTAATTTAGAGGTAGTAAGTGAATTGTTTTGTTGATAGTCATGGTTGAAGCCATGTCTTGAATTCTTGGATGAATTTTTGGCTAAAAATTTCTAAAAATATATAATATTGAATTAAAAAGATATATATTAAAACTTTATGGTATTTAAATATTTAGTTTGTGAGATATGAAGAAATTTACACACTGGTATATGTAAGCAAGGATTTGAAGCTATTGTTAGAGTTTTGGCGATGTTTCAAGATCTGTAATGAATTTATGGTTGAAATTTTTTGCAATAGTTGTTAAAAATATATTAGTATTTTATGTAAAATTTGGATTTGTTTGGATGATCCAATCATGAGATATGAGATATGAGCTATTGAAGTTTAAGAAGAATTTACTTCAAGGATATATAAGTTTTTTATAACATTTTTATCACATTTTAACTTGGCTCTTCTATAATAAGATCCATATCATCATCTTTCACCATATAGTCGTGTTTCAACATGACAACGGGACTTCCCAATAAAAATACCAAAGGCTAGTACTAAGGATAGCTACTGTCTCTTACAAACAAATGGCATGGCCTTGGATAACTATAAAAAGTGTCAATTGGTATATCTAACAAGAATACTTAGAGGACAATCATGTCGAGTGCCTATAGATTGTGGCTCTACAAAACATTGCATCCCAACTGAAGTTGCTGACTGACTTAGAATTAAAACTAAAGAAATCAAAGAAGGAAGTATATATCTTGCAGATGATCAAGAGAACGTATTCAGTGAAATGTGTAAAAAAAACCTTAAGATTGACAAACACTTATGTCTTAAGAGTAAGATTCAAGGTGACAAAGCTAAAGCATGATGTTATCTTTGATATGCCATAGCTAGAGATGGAAAATAAGCAAGTTGATTGGATAGTAAGGACAATCTCTTTTAAAGATAGAGCATGCAAGATGACTCTTTGTACCTCCACATGAAGTGAAGAAGATGAAGAGAAAGTCTAGGGTAATAGGATAAGATATAAATAGAATTAATCAAGGTCTTTTGGAGTTCCTTGTCAAGTATAGCTTTGGCACCTTCTCTTAGTAAAATATGGTTGTACATCTTTGTGTTTAGATCTATTGTACTCTTTTTTTGTTTTCACAATTTTGTCTTTCATGTCTATGTGCATACCTTCAAAGAACATCACATGCTTCAAAAGGAGAATTTGAAAATCAAAAGAAAGAATTGTAAGGTTTAGGATTTGAACTACAATTTGTGTGCAAATTTTAGAGGATTTGGAGTTAGGGTGATGAAATTATAGCCATTTGAAGTTAAGGTGTCTTTTTAAGATATACTATTACTATTTTGAGAATATGATGAGTTTTATGATAGATTTTGAAGATTAAAAGGTCTAGTTGTAAAAATAATTTTAAGATCTATATCTTTTATGAAAGAATTTTTACATTTGGAATTTTTATGAAGAAGTTATAAAGCGTTGAAAACAACACAAGTAATTTAGAGGTAGTAAGTAAATTGTTTTGTTGATAGTCATGGTTGAAGCCATGTCTTGAATTCTTGGATGAATTTTTGGCTAAAAATTTCTAAAAATATATAATATTGAATTAAAAAGATATATATTAAAACTTTATGGTATTTAAATATTTAGTTTGTGAGATATGAAGAAATTTACACACTGGTATATGTAAGCAAGGATTTGAAGCTATTGTTAGAGTTTTGGCGATGTTTCAAGATCTGTAATGAATTTATGGTTGAAATTTGTTGCAATAGTTGTTAAAAATATATTAGTATTTTATATAAAATTTGGATTTTTTTGGATGATCCAATGATGAGATATGAGCTATTGAAGTTTAAGAAAAATTTACTTTAAGTTTTTTATAACTATTTGGACTTATAGAGGTTAATTCTATTCTCCTCTCAAACAAGACAAGCTTTTATCCTAACGGTCACATGCGTTTCAAATCTGCTTGTCAAAAGAAGTGCATATTGGAAGTGAGAGGAAGTGCAGTATTAATTTCAAAGGGAGCTCGGGTTCCCACTTGCGATCTAAACAAGAAACAAGCAGTAACATATTGCACGATATCTCTACTTCAAGGTCAACATGCTTATGAAATTAGTAAGTCGTATTTGAATTAATCGCCTGTTAACATGTAAACCAACAAGAGATATTTTGCATTGAAATCAGGGCACGTTCTTAAATAACTGATCCAATCCTTTTCATTGTAAGGATATTTATTTCAAACTGGTACGCAATGAATAGCAAACCATTTGTATATTAATGAAGCTATCCGAATAGATCTGCCCAAGGATAGGCTATAATTCTACGCAATATACTAATATCACCTTCACAAGTGGACAAAAGCACATTGAAGATATGAATACTGGTGTACAGATCCCACATTCGAACCACTGAGACTTATAAGAAACACCGAGTGCATTGTTTTTGTAAATCCTACGGCCATGTAACAACTGTGCACCATAGGTATTACTCAGAAAAGAAATTGGAACGAAAATTGGTAGACCAATGCAGCCTCCAACGTGACACCACAGTATGACTGTTCCACTTAATCAGTTAAAATCACAGATTTGGATCTTTTTTCTTGCTGATCCGTCGGTCGATGTATGCATGATGGAGACGTTACTGAGGTGCAACAGCTTGTGAGCGGTAATCACCTTACTAATTCTGTCGAATCAGGTCTGAGAAAACCAAAGTTGGTGCACTGATGTGTAGTAGTTCCTGTATGGTCATGTCAGAATGATAATGTGCACCTCCCAATCTCAATATGAGCACATCTCGAAATTCTATCCTTGAAGGTATCCCGCAGAATGGAAACTGTTAGGACATCACGAGTGATCTTCACATCTGTGCCTTGAGTTGCCGTTCCAGATGTCCAAACAGAGAT